ATATATATATATATATATATACACACACATATATACATATACATATATATTATAAACTAGTGCATTACAAAAGCACTAGTGCATTACAAAAGTTGTTATAAAGTTGTTCTTTCTTTCATATATTCATCATATAAATAAATCCTGCCTTCTGTCACTCTCTGTCATTGTTTGTTTTTTGTTGTTGTTGCTTTTGTTTACATACACGCACACACACACACACACACACACAGATAGATAGATAGATAGATAGATAGATAGATAGATAGATAGATAGATAGATAGATAGATAGATAGATAGATAGATAGATAGATATTGAGCAGAAGCTCCTATTGGCCGATCATTCACCACATCCAGTTGCGCACGACTTGGTGACATCAATAGGGACGAAGGATCCTGAAAAATTACTCCAGTGTTGGTGTGACGACAGTGACCGTTTCGTATAAATGCCGGGACGGAAAGTTATCTGCTCATACCTCTAGACTTGGCCTTTAAGGTCACCAACTGCTGCGAGCGACTGAAAGCAACTATTATCACTGCCGGTAGTACCAGAAACTGGGGAAAGGACAATATTTTACCAGGTGAGGCTTTTAGACTAATCTCATTGGAAATGTAAATATGTCTGCTGGTTAAGGGTTGTTCTTTAATTGATCTGGATAGATCTCATGCATCATGTTTTATTCATATTTATTAGGTGAGTCTTTAGAGTTCTCTTAGATTTATTTGTAAAAACCAATCTTCAAAGCTGCTGCGATCTCAAAGCCTCAAAGGCTTGGTTAGCAGCTTTGCTAAAACTGGATTTCTCAAGATAAAAAAATAAAAATAAAAATTGTACTTAAAAAAAAATTCTATTCAAAAACGAAACGTCTGGTCCCAAAATTGACTTAAATACAGTGGTGCAGAGTAGACAACAAACCAGTTCACCCACGTTAATATTGTTTCTGTTTAATATTTCCTATCTGCCGTGATCTGTTTCAGACGAAAAACTAAATTACCATGAAGTCGACATGTCTGCTTATCCTTGCATCTCTAACGGTCTGCAACTTGATGGTGTCTGGAGGACAGAGCATGTCTGCTGAGGATGAGACTGACCGAAAGACCATAGACGACATTATTTTAGAGAGAGCAGAGACTCTCCTGTTACGGTCCATTCTCAAAAAGCTGCAGGATGAAGACGGGAGAAATGGTGCGTAAAACATATGTTATTTTCTGAGTTAAGAAAATGTCATAAAATCAATTTCCTACGATACTGATACTTCGGGTATATCTTAGATGTACCTGAAAGTTGCAGCACATTCTCAGTAGTTTATAGTTTCGTGCGCACTTTTCAGGTATCATTTGGAGACATTTTTGTTTAAGTAATTGCTAAACAGTTAACATCGGCAAGGCAAGAGAATATGTCTCCTTTATAATTAAAAATAATAATAATAATCAAAGAAAGGTTTTCGATTATCTGCGCACGCGGTAGAGAGAAACCGGGTTTTTATCAGTGACTTCTGAAACATTTAAGAGCCACTTTCCTCTCTTGTTTTCTTTCAGACGGCTATTACTCTCAGCCAGAATGGGTGACAAAACGACAGCACCCTGGTAAGAGATATAGTGATGATTTGGAGAAGCGGCAGCATCCAGGAAGGAGAGAAGAGGACGAGGATGAACAGTACTTTGATGTTCAAAAGAGACAGCACCCGGGCAAGCGCGAAGATGAAACGCACTCTTTCCTAGAGCTGCAGAAAAGGCAGCACCCGGGAAAGCGCTCCACGGCGGGTCACAGTTCTGACAACCCCATCCTCCTGCTCAGTGAACTTTCAAAACGGCAACACCCAGGCAAGCGTTACCTGGTGCTGCACAGCAAACGCCAGCACCCAGGTAAGCGTCTTCTAGAGGATGAGGACGGCGACAGTGACGGGGATGCGGACGCGGATGGAGAAGAAGACCTCGCTGAGATGGAAAAGCGTCAGCACCCTGGGAAACGGTTTTGGGATAACTCGAGTCCGGATTTAGGCACAAACAGTCCGTGTGACGTTTTGGACCCTGCGAGCTGCAGCAAGACCAGCCTGCTGCTCGACTTTTTAGACAACGTTAACAAGGGCCACGCCGAGGAGAAGAGACAACACCCGGGTAAAAGGTTTGCACTGGATGAGGATTTAGTGGATGGAGAGTAGATTAGACAGGAGTGCGTATTTCGCTGTGTTGTAAACAAATAAATGTATAAATTAAATGACCACAATGAATTATAAAAAAAAATGAAAAAAAGATCATTAAACCTTTTGTGCCACCGCTTGTTCTTTTAAAGACATTTGAGACATCATTACCGCAAGCCATTTGTCTGACATTTTTTTGGAGAGCTCATGCGTAATTGCCATCCAAACTTTGGAATAACTATATAGCTGTACAGACGTTTTTGTTTTGTTTTTTCAGAAGAGTTTGTGCCATATGTTGATCTTTTAATAGCTATCGTTATAAATAACATTCATTCAGTTGACGAGATTATTTATTCTTACATTGAGGCAGATGATTAAAACATTAGTCAGATGGTTTTAGCGATGTTGCCTCTGTGAGGCAACAGGCGCTCGTCAGTTCAGCTTGTGTTAAGATCAAATTAAAGTGTCTATGTTTACACATAAAAGCTCCCTCCACTGTTCGATTTGCGTTTCATTATTTTCTACTCGTGTAAAATATAATGAATATCACAGCAAATAAATTGTGTCACTGCTTATTTTTCTACATTACTGCATGGTTTACGTAATTTGAAGCTAATGTTATAAATTAAAAGCTGCCATTGCCTTAAAGTCAACCACCAATGTTTTTGTTGGACAATAAACGCATTGGTAAAAACGTATGGTTTGCTTCAGTTCCAGTAAATGCAATGCCTCATGGTGCACCATTAAACTGTTGATTCAACACAAGCCTAATTAGTATGTAGTCGTCACCCTGCCTAAGCCTCTTAGAGAATGATTTATGCAATTCAGTAACAGACAGAGTGTGTCAGATATCCACTCCCCAGCTTAATTAGGCTCATTCCATCAGAGCCTTGGGAGCAGCTGTCCACCAGCCTGATCAATATGCAAATTATTCATCAAGCATGTGAGTTAACGATGGAGACCTAATATTGGAGATGTTTCGCCGAACACTCACAACTCTAGCAGAATAGCCAAGTGTCAGTGGACTGGCAACGTGTTTATTATATAATGAGCTATACACACACACACACACACACACACACACACACACACACACACACATATATATATATATATACAGGCTGTGCTCTTGGTACCAACGGTGATGATGAGTAATTTAACTAAATAAATTATTATTTCATTTTAAAAAGTTATAAATGTTTGAAAAGAATATTATAAAACAATAAATGCCAGTCAGGTAAGTGCACAGTCCAAGTAGCATTTAAACTGTGTTTTAACGAGTGAAAAAAAGGCTGTAGGATAAAACTAGGGAACTGTAGCTTATACAAACTGAAAATGGATCAAATAAAGGTTCTAGGGTTACATAATACAGCTGGATTCACCCTAAGGCTTGTAGTTGCAGTTAATGAAGCTGGCCAAACCCAACCACACATCCCAACCACAAAAAAACACACCCTTAGTTATCCAGCCTTGAATTTTTCCTATCACCCTCCATCGTGAATGACAAACTGTTGTTAGAGTTAAAAAAAAAATGTTTATTTACGGTAGCAGTGCAGGTTTGCACAAAATACAGACAACCAAAAGTTGGATATAACAAATATGTACTTACATTGCGGATAAGTTTCCTGATGGAGCGCCAACCGCAAAATCAAGTTTTGTCCCTCCTCTCGTTCCATACCGACTGGATGTCAGTCACATGACCAGGCAGGGCTGCTGGCGCTGCTGTTGTGCTTCTGTCAGTGAAAACTCGAACTGTCAACAACACAGCTACTGTCGGGCTCATTTGTAGACTAAGTGCAGATTTTTTTTATCGCGTCCAATAGTCAGTAGGTATTTGTTTGCTTTTGTGCAGTTGGAAGTTTGTTAATGTCGCGTTTTTGAACAGCGTGAGGGGAGAAACGATTGCAAAAGAAGGCGAGAGCAGCTGCTAGCTTTCTACGCCACATCCCCTGTGTGGTATAACGGCGCCCAAAGTTAGCCTAAATAATAAACAATAAAGGTAAGTCCTTTCATGGCTCGTATCCAGCTATCACTTAGTAAAACACCTCTGGTATGCAGCTAGGGAACCTAATACTTCCCGTCCAGTTAAGCGTTTTTTCCGCTAAATGCGTGGGTCGACTTAAGCTAAGTTTTGCTATTATAATGCAGTTGTAATAGTAATTTATCTGAATGTGCATAATAGTATTCTAATCAATATTATTACCTTAAATGTAAGTATTAATTAATGTATTAATTTTTTAAAGATGTCCAATACTGTGTGTAAGTCTTGAGCCACACTTCATTCCTTTATATTTTTCATCCAATGAGCCGGACTTTCTTGTATTTTTTAAGTGGTCTTGAGCAATGGTCCTACACGCTTTCTGAAGATCTGTTAATGCTTTTTTAAATTAATTTTCAGTCCAGTCCTTGTAAGTGACCATTCTCAGAGGAATGTATTTTTGTTTTTTAAGCAGCTTAAAATTGTGTTAAGTTAACACTTATGGATCATTCAAGCATACAAACATTCTCTCTTCTCAGACTAACAGTTTTAGTTTTGGTTCTGATTCAAATCATTATTTTATATAGAGGAGCCCCACGGAGAGGTATAATAGTGTCTACAACCATGATTATGGGCTGCATTTCAGCCAGCTGTGTTGGGGACGTTGGCAAAATTGAATGAACCGTGAACTCAAAAAAGCATCACCAGATTCTGAGCCACCATGCAATAGAACCTGGAAAGCGTGTGATTGGCAGTGGGTTCATTTTTCGACATGACAGTGATCCCAAACACACACCTCTAATGCAGTAAAAGCATACCTGGATAGAAAAACACACATTGTCACACTATCAATCGTGGATTTGCCTCTGAAGAACTTGGACGTTAACAGTGTTGAAGCAGTGTGGGGGTAATTTTGACAGAGAATAGAACAAAAGACAGCCAACATACAAAGAAGAGCCTTGAATTTCTTTTAAGAGGCGTGGAGAACAATTCCCGAAGATGACCGAAAAAATTAAAAGAACGTTTGCCTAAGAGAGTTCATCCTGTATTGAAGAATAAATCTGGTCATAACAAATATTGATTTACAAGCTTGTTAGAATTGTACAAACTACGTTTTTGCATTGCAAATATAAAGAAATGATCGGTGGCTCAAGTCTTTTGTTCAGTATTGTATGTGGCCTCGGTGTACTTGTCTCATTCCTCAGTATCCTGGGATTTTCTCAGGCATTATGGAGCTATTGTGGGGTAGGTTGCACACCCCATGAGATGTGGACCGAAGTGAGAACGTGCCACTTTGCACCCCCTCTGCAGCAGCACTGACACTTGTTGTCATGGCCTCCAGCTACCCACCCCCCTTTGAGGGCACAGGTGAAGTAAAGGAGGGTTTTCTTTGCCCACTGTGCCTAAAGGACCTCCAGTCATTCTACCAACTCCAAGACCACTATGAAGAGGAGCACTCTGGAGATGACCGCCATGTTCGGGGACAGCTAAAAAGTTAGTTGCAGATTCTGTGTTTTACTCTTTGCTACAGGGCTAATTTAGTCCTGTTGTGTTCTAAAGACACAAAATTGTACAGTGTACTGTCTAGTTTGGAAAAAAAAGGGCTTTTGAAAGGAAACCTATTATTATTCATTTTTAGTTTAGTATTTTTATTTGTGGACCCTGCTAGTGTGACTAGTCACAAGTTAAACGTGTTCTTGTTTATCTTATACTGGGTCTTGGGTCAGCTAGAAGTTTATCCTTTGTTAGAAGTGAAGAATTTAAGCTTAGTTTCCCCTAAGAGTGTGGGTGAGTCTTATATGGTCACTACAGGAGCTGTGTGCTGCAGATGAACATATTAAGTACATCTCATTTACATCATACAGAGCCAATAGTAGAAAAAAATATCTAGAGTCTGATCATGTGGCTTATAGGGGATATATATATATATACACACACAATTTACATATAAAAGGAGAAGTATAAACAGTGCAATTGAATATAAGAATACTGCTGTACTGGATTATAGGAAATTGCTGTCAGGATGAATTTGCAGTCTGTGTTGGGTGCTGCAACTTTCTACATAATAGGAATATGATTGACTTATGAAAAGGCTAGAAGGATGCATGTGCAGGTTGGCTTCATTTGCATATTAATAGTACTGTAATGAACTTGAAAATAGAAAAACATGATAACAACAATCACATGTTGAAAGATGGATGAATAAACTGAAAATGTGGTCATTATAAATATTAACTCTGGATCAGCATAAGAATCACAGTTTCGGGATACATTTACACACTGTTTCATTGTACTGTCTCACTGTTTTCAGGTTTGGTTCAGAAAGCAAAGAAAGCCAAAGATAAACTGCTGAAGAGGGATGGGGACGACAGACCGGATACTGGCAGTTATGAGTCCTTCTACTATGGTGGAGTGGACCCATACATGTGGGAGCCTCAGGAATTGGGTGAGACTGCAAAAACTGTCATCTGTAGCTCTGCTAACCAACAATATTTGTTAATGCAAGACACTAAAAAAATATTTTTCTTTTGCTTTTTAGGAGTAACTAGAAGTCATCTGGACTTGTTTAAAAAGCACCGGGCAGCCAGGATAGATCATTATGTCATTGAGGTCAACAAGCTCATCATTAGACTGGAAAAGGTTTGCTTACATTACCTCATTCAGACAATTTATTTTCTTCTGTTGCTGGAAATAAATTTGCAACTCATTTACCATAAACTATGATGTTTTAGCTGACATCATTTGACAGAGCCAACTCAGATGCTGCTAAGATCAGAGGTTAGAGTTTTCATTATAACTCTGAATATTCTTTACATATGTAACTGTGCTTCATAAAATATTTTAAATAATAAAAATTTATCCCTCTTTGTAGCCATTGAGAAGTCTGTAGTGTCATGGGTCAATGATTCAGACGTACCGTTTTGTCCCGACTGCGGAAACAAGTTCAACATACGTAACAGACGGCACCACTGTCGCCTCTGTGGGTCCATCATGTGTAGGAAGTGCATGGAGTTTGTTCCCTTACCCCTGGCCCGTAAGCATGAACAAATACAGAAAACTGTCTGATCTCAAAAGTCTCTCTATAAGTGTCATAATGCTGCATGTCTTTTTTATTTAACCTTCAACAGAGAAGCTTATCGCTGGGACTCGAGAAGCACTGTGTGTACCCGGAAGTCCCAGTCAGTCGCAGTCTCCACCAGCGGGAGGTGGCAGCAGCGGGATGGGCTCTAGGAGAGGCAGCATCAGCAGTTTGAGCAGTGTAACCTCCATGCTGGAGGAAAAGGATGATGAGAAGATTCGCTGCTGTCACCACTGTATGGACACACTTCTGAAGAGACAGCAGAAGTTAGAAGAGAAGGACCATGTGCCAGATATAGTGAAACTTTATGAGGTTAGTTTATCACTTTAATTCCTAATGTGAAGATCAGGTTCTTTATCTGTTCCCATTTTCATTGCGGTCGATTCTAAGAATTGTTTTGCAACCTCTCGAGTTTGCTTTGTTCTATCCTTCCTGTCATTTAATGTGTTTCTTGTGGAGCTTCCTGTTGTTTACTTGCTTTGAATTTGTCTTCCTGACAGAGGTTGAGGATGTGCATGGAGAAGGTGGATGAAAAGGCTCCAGAGTATATCCGAATGGCTGAGTCTCTCAAGTAAGCCACATTTAAAAAGTACTTCTTCATACTTTATGACAGCTGCTTATTTTTCAGTTTGGCGAGATGGTTTTAGTGCTTTCTGTCATCTGTACACTTTTATAGTGCTGGAGAAACCACTTACAATCTTGACACTGCTGGTGGGTTAAGACTGGAAGTCCAGAAATACTATGAACTCATCGATGCTCTGAGGTATATGGCAGTCATGACTGACAGCTTCAAAATGAAACTTTTGTCATGTTTGCCCACTATGCCATTATTAAAGATTAAATTGGCTTCTTTTCTTTTTAGTAAGAAGATCTTAACACTAGGACTGAAGGATGATCCACAACCACATCCGAAGGTGCTCCAGCTACAGAAAATGATCCGCTATACCGCCACGCTGTTTGTCCAGGTCAGGACAACTTCCACTCATACATAAAAACACAATTTGATTTGATTTGATTTGATATACCTTTATTAGTCCCACAAGGGGAAATTTCAAGGATGGATGAAGAAACACAATGTTTCTTCATCCTTCCTTGTAATGAAATTCTGGAGGAATGACCACTTTCCTGTACTTTAGCCAGCAGCTAAACTGCAGGAAAATTAATTAACTGCAGGCTTATAATAAAATTTGAAATAATGAGGTCAAAGAATATAGAAGTGATCTCTATGAGCACAAAAGCTCTGTCTTCAGGCTGCTCTAAACACAGTTTCTCCTCTTGGCTCTATATTATGCTTAGTTTGATTATCTCTCCTGTGGTCAAAGTGGGCATAGAAGACCCAACCATCTTCTGCTCAAACCTTCTGTTTGAATGAGTAAACCAATCAGAAGAAAGCTGGCCTGAAGGGGGTGGAGCTAAAATGGCTTGGCTGCACTGACATGGCCCAATATAAGATAACTAAAAGTTATTTTAAACTTTGAATCATTCAACGCTCCAAGATAGCAGTAGCTAGAAATAAGAGGGTTCTCTGTAGTATGACTATCATATACCAGAAATGATTTAACTGTATCAGTGTTTTTACTGTAATCTTAAAGGGATAGTCCATATAAAATCAGTTCATGACCTGTAGCACATTTTGCCTATTGCCTTTTTCTTATCAGTATTACTTTACAGAAGTTCACTGATAATGAGCAACCTGCCAAGTCTGTAAAATGTGTTTCTGCTTCAGTCATCATATTGTATGTTGAGCTGATGAAAGTCTGTTGTTGTAAACAAAGCTTTTCATTGAGAGAAAAATGTATAATGTGTATAACCCATAATGTGTTGTACCACAAATATAATATGCTATCTGTGCTGTAATGTTGTCTGGGGCTTAAATTTTTAAGAGCAGCATGTTTCTGTTTATCATTGCATTACAGTATATTTACACATTATTTCTGCAACATATCTTCATCCTGGAATTCTTTATTTGTATGAATCTGCCCATTCTTTGTGTCTTCTGTTTCAGGAGAAGCTGTTAGGTCTGATGTCTTTACCCACTAAGGACAAATATGAAGAGCTGAAAGAAAAGAGGAAACAGGAACAAGAGAAGAGACTGCAACAAGAAAGACTGGTACGATTGTGTTCCTGTATGTTGTTACTATTATTTTTTTCCGCTGGACAGATGTGGCTAAATGTGTTAACCTTCATGTGATTCTTGCTCAACAGGCAGCACAGGAGGCTCTGAAGAGGAGGCAGGAGAGACAGGAAAGAAGCCGTCCACCTGTGAATGCCAATGGAGAGCTGCCCCAGGCCCCCAGAGAGCCACGAATTACCAAAGCTGGTGGTTGGCTTCCCTCCGCGGACTCCATCCACACACGTGGCGAACTGGAAGACCCCCTTCTGCAGCAGATCGAGAACATTGAGTCATTCCTTCGTCAAGCTCGGGAGGCTCAGAGAACAGACGAAGTGACCATGTTAGAGGAGAACTTGCGCCAGCTGCAGGATGAGTATGACCAGCAGCAGACCAGTATTGCTCTTGCGCTCTCAGAAAAGCTTGCTCAAGAGGAGAGTTTGCAGCAGGGGGAGCTGCATCGCTTGAAGACCTGGGAAAGGGAGGAGAAAGAGCAATGGAGCTCTGCTGTAAACTCCTCCGAGCCATCCTATAAATGGGAGCGGTCTCTAGATATCACTCCAACTGGAGGTCACCAGGGAGAGGACACACCAGCAGAGGAGCTGACTCCTAAGGCAGAAAGAAGTCCTCCGTCTTTTAGAGCATTCCCTGCTCTCACAAGCCAGGAGGAGTCTCCCCCAAGGTTGAGAAGCTTAGGAGGCCATGTAACACCTCCTGGCGGTGAAGGCCAGAATAACACCTCCCTTAACCCCTTTGAAGAGGATGATTCCACACCCACCGAAGATGATCCATCCAATCCGTTCTTTGAGGACATCAAGAAGGACCACAAAGAGGTAACCAACGGAAAGAAAGAATACAACCCCTTTGATGAAGATGAAGATGCAGAGGAGGACAAACTGGCTGAGACTGTTTCACGCAACCCCTTTGAGGATGATGACACAGATGAAGGTAACCCATTCCTAGAGGCTTCAGGAAATTCTCCAGAAGTCTCGACTAACCCATTTGACGGGGATGACAAAGATGAGGTCTTGCCGGATGTGGACATGATAGAGGAGGAGCTGCTGCTACAGCAGATAGACAACATTAGGGCCTACATCTTTGATGCAAAGCTCAGCGGGCGTCTCGATGAGGTTGACCTTCTGACACAGAACCTAAAAGAGCTACAAAAAACCCTCCAGGAGCAGAAGAATAAGAATAAGAAGCACTGACACATTTCCCTCAAAATCCTCCTGATCACCTGCTACTTACCAAGTCCCACAAGGTTAGCTCACTTAATGCGACTTCTGAGCCCACAGAATTTAATTTGGGTGAGGTCTGCTGTATCACAAATGAAGTTCATGCCACAACAAAAATACATACAAGACTTCAGTAGTCATTTCCTGAATTTCCAAACATTTTCTTAGGCTTCCTTGCCTGTTTAGGCCAAGGGCTCAAATCTAATGCACATGTACAATTTTAGAGCACTGTGAGTAAAAGTTAATTTGTTTAGGCATGTCTGCAGCTATTTGCCCAGCTGTAAAAATGCAAACATGAACAAATGAAGATAAAACAATGTCACTTTTAACGAATGTTAAATGAGACAGTCACATGGTTCTCTGAGTAGAATCTGGCTCTTCAGTATAAGCTCTGAACAAAGTCAAAACGCTGCCATGGCTGCAAAGCTATAAAACGATAAGATCACACATCCTATCATAGCACTGCACTGCTATAGCACTGGCAGACCTGTGATGACACCCCCCCCCCAGATTAAAAAAAAAAGATACTACAGAAACACACATAGTGCTTCTTCTACCTTATTAAAACCTGCTGCCTACATGAAGCACAGTTCAACTTGAGATTTGGGTTTGTAGTTGGTGACTGACTACAGTTTTTTCAGAAACTACTCCGCTCTATCTGGAGAAATGGCTTTAAATGTCTTAAATTCGCAGACTTTAATGTGTAAAATCTGTTTCATTGATGTTTGAAGTCTTGTATTGGTGCTTCATTCTGTGGTAATTGTACTTCCTGCTTTTCATTTATCCCTTAGTAAAGAGCTAAAGCGCACATTATTTTACATCTAACTTTCCCACAAATAACTCACAGTCCAAATGACCATGTTATTATCAAACAAGAAGTGGAATTTAACATTTACTAAACATTTGGGGAGCCCAGTGTTTGAAGGAAAGAGATTATTTGACAAAGTTGCTATTAGTGTTTGAATTATAATTTTAGTCAATACGCCTGGACCAATTAGATTTGTAAGAGTAGTTAAAGATGCATTGCACAGAATTAAACCATGAATGTGGCCTGCCACTAAAAAAAGTGTAGCTTAATGTTACACTGACTAGCAAACGTTTTAATTATAATTGTTGCAGCCAGCCAGTTAATTAACTCTTAAACTAAAGGTGTCAAACCTGACTTTTTCATTTCCAAAATCTTCAGTTTATTGCACCTGCTATGTCATCCAATAAATATGCTGCATCTTATATAACAGGGAGCCAAAAAAAAGGCTTCCTCAACCTGATGTTTTTTTGTTTTTGTTACAGTACAGGAATTTTGGCTGCATGTGTGTGTTGTTCAGCTGGTAGCCCGGCATGTCAGACATCACAGCTAAGATCTGTATGTTCGGCTTGTTATCTGATCACTAGTTTCACCTGAAATGTCCATTCAGAGTTCATCCAACCAGTTCACCCAGCAGGTACTAAACACTATTTGCCAAGGGACACTGTAGGCATATACAAGTGAATAAAACATCTAAAATTCACTGAAGTTCCATTGTGTAAGGAAGTCATTCATATTTGTTAAGTCTAAATAAATTCTTAGGTTAATTTCTTTTTCTCGGTTAAACATATATTAACACTACATGAATGCCAGCAAGTATTATCACCTTGAGTGCTGCTCTGCCGGTCCTAACATTACTCTCTTTTTGTGCTTTCAGTCTCCTCGTAGAGTTTTTTGTGTTTGTAACATCTGCAGAAAATTTTTAGCAAAGCACGTGACCACCCTTAATGTTTTGACAGCGTGAATAACACAAGGAGATTCATTAATGTTAATTGCTGATCTTTATCTTTGAAAGTAATTTAACATCTCTGCATTTAAATGAAAATATTTGAAATGGACACAGCGATTTAGAAATGTAAGGAAATTCCATCTCAGCACTAATAAAACTGTCTGCAGTAAAATGTGATTGCATTTTGGTTTTGTTTTTCCACTTTTCATGTGAGCATTGATGGTGAATATTTACATAGTGTGAAGCTACATGAGAAAAATGGGTTTTATTTAAATGCTCACATCAGTCAGCCCATATACATCCATGCGAAGTCTTCAACAGGTCTCACTGTAGCAGATGATTGGTTCCTCCTGCTTCACAGTTGAGTGCCAGTCCTTTCATATAGTTATATAAACACCAAATGAAGCCACATAATCCCGTAATATTGTTCTGTAAATCTACAAAAGTCCACTGTCCTTCTCAGACTCTACTCCTGTGACGCTGCCATCTGGGCCTTGTATTTGCCCGTCATCTCTTTAGGCAGCGGCGTGGTGCCAGGACATGGCACCTGGCCCTCCACTTCACAGATGCACTCCCTCAGACAGTACTTCTTTGGCCCAAAGTTGGCGGGGTTGGAGGCTTGCATCTTAGCTAGAGCTTCAGCTTGTAGCACCTCTCTGTGGAGCGAGTTAAGTAAAATAAATATATGAACAGATTGCCTGGTCTTCGCTGGAGAAGAGATTTTACACAGAGGACATTTGACACTGCATAGTAGTAAATGGTAAAACTAATCCTAAATATATTCTGATGTGAGCGTATGCAGACATCCAGAGGTGTGCTTGAATAGCCTATTTATCTTAAAAAGGTTACTAACTGAGGCAAATAACCTGGAATTATCTGCATGGCAGCCATAATAAGATCTGGTTGACTTTTCTAAATACAAAGGAAAAGTGCTTAAGTGCTTCCTTTATTACCTCCTTTAGGAAAGGATACACTGGATCGGAAGGAAGTGGCAGGTCACCATTAAATGCTAATGAACAGTGATTCTATTTCATGTTGTAACCTGATGATATGTTTTGAACCTTTAATGAAAGGTAATGTTAAACCCACAGGTGAATTATGAACATTATGCTGCTGTAATAAGATCTGCTTCTGATTGAGGTAAAAAGAATTTACATATAAAAGAAAGTCTACATGATCAAAGTGCATTAAAGGTGCACCACAGTTCTATTAGCGTCACATCCATCATTCATTATGAATTCATGTTTATATCCAGGTGTATGTTTTTCTTTAAAATTCCAACTTTAGTATGTAATCATATTTTTTACTGTTGGTTCTCGTATTAGCTGTATGAAACAACAAGATAGGAACACAGGATGAAGTAAGATGCTCATTTTGTAGTCCATCTTCTGGACTTTAGGCAGACATCACAGTGTTAATTCAGACAGATCATCTAAGCAACGTGGTTCATAACTTCTTATAAATCCTCAGTGGTTTGCCACTGAGTTAAGAAAAGTTATGGAAGGTATTTTTTCAAACTATTTGTTTCTGTTTCATAAAAGACGATTCACACTTTAAAAAAAATCCTTGTATATCTTACTCTGATTTGCCCAAAATCTTCTTAACATGTTGAGCAATCCGTTTGTGGTCCTTCCCCTCCACGTCCACCATTACTTGTTCCCCGTCGTCTGGACAAAAACACAAAAGAAGATCAATCTAAGCCCAGTTTAATTTCTCTAGTATTTCGTATCAACACTACACAACAACACGTAAAGCTACACACCCAGGTAGAACTTCAGGAAGGATGACGGCGTCATGTTTTTGAACATCATAATTTGGACCCACGGGTTTTTGTACTGAATCTGAGGAATATTGAAGAACACAAACTTTCTGCAAAACACAGAGAGAGAAGACAATTTAGCTTCATTTAGATCATTACAGTTGTTATAGCTTTCTGCATTAAAAAAAAAGGGAATCATGCTGTTTTGTTTTTTTTAAGTGTTTCTGGAAAACCTTCTGTATATAGTAAACTTTAACACAAAGTTGAATTAATGCAAAATCAACTGAAAACTATTGTGATAAAAGATTAAAGTAAAATGATCCAAAACTTGTTTTCTTTTAGGAAACTTTGAAGAATCTTGGATTTATTCTGTGACCTGGATATTTCCTTCAGTGCGCATATTAAACAAATATGTAAGACTGCGGTCTTGCATTTAAACAATATCTCTAAAGTTAAAAACGTCCTCTCTCAAAGTAATGCTGAAAAAGTAGTTCATGCATTCTAAGCTCAACTATCTTAATTCGTTATTATGGAGTTGTCCTAAAGCAGGCCTCAAGAGCCAGTGTACTGCAGGTTTTAGATGTGTCCTTGATCCAACACAGCTGATTTAAGTGACTTAATTACCTCCTCAACATGTCTTGAAGTTCTCCAGAGGCCTGGTAATGAACAAATCATTTGATTCAGGTGTGCTGACCCAGGGTGATATCTGAAACCTGCATAACACCAGCCCTTGAGGCCTGGAGTTGGACATCCCTGTCCTAAAGACGCACTGAAAAGCATTCAGTTGATCCAAAATGCTGCAGTGAGAATACTAACAGGGACTAAAAAGAGAGCACATTTCTCCCATATTGGCTTAACTCTCCCCAAACTGTTCACAGCAGATGTTTGCCCCTACCTGAGCCCTGTTCTGCCAGAGGTTTCTTCTTGTTAAAAAGGAGTTTTTCTTCTGCACTGTTTCCAAGTGCTTGCCAACTAACTGTTGGGGTTATCGCTCTGTTGGGTCTTACAATAAAAAGTGCCTTGAGGCAACTTGCTGTGACTGAATTGAATTTTAAAACCTTAATGTAAAAAAAGGATTTGTATCTTTCACCATTTTTCTGACCTTTACAACAATTCAAAGGGATAAACATGACTTTAAAAAACACGGTACTTTTCACAGTGATGCATATGAGCATACTGTCAGAGTAGTTATAAAGGATGACCAGGTGATCCACACAGCATTTTACCCCCTCTCCCCTGATCCACGTGTTTATGGGCTCAGGTTAATAAAACATGAGACACGTGAGATCTCAACAACAGCGTGGCTCAAAAATAGTTGACTTTTTTTAAGTGTATAAAATGAGCTGAAATTTCTGCTCGTCTATTTCCTAGTCGATGCTCTGACCTTGCTCCGTCGCTGAGCTCGCCGTGTGTGTTATAATTCACTGTCATAATCTTCACTCTGTTTTTGAAGATGATGTCGCCCTTCTGGAGATATTCCAGGGTCCTCCTGATCGGAAACCTTCCTTTCATAGGCATCTTAACCTTTTTTATATTTACAAATTACCATTTAACAGCAAACTGCGCGTGCCCGTAGCCAAAAAAAGCACACTAACAGAGACGCGTTTTGATGACGTAGGAAGGTCGCTAGCCAAGCGACCAAAGAGTGATGGTAATTGTAGTTTTTGCAAGAACGCCTAAGCTACATTCATATTTTCCCGAATTGCTAAAATATTAACTTTTTAAACCAATCACTCTTTTGGCCAAAACTTATATCTTGCCTTATAACCTTTAAACACACTAAAACACAGTCTACACAACAGTTCATTTGTTGTAAGACTAACTACTGGAAGCAGAAGTTACAACAAAAGTCAACACAATAACTTTAAATTATTCACACTCATTGCTGCTGGTATGATGAAACCCGTAAGGATCATCTCAAACTGGTTTCTTGAACATGAAAATGAGTTCATTGTACTCTCAAATGGTCAGCAGATCCCATCCAGTAGAGCACTTTTGGGGTGTAGTGGAAGAGGAGAACCTATTAAGAATTGAGGCATTTTTGAAGAAAAAAACAAAGATCCAGCCTGGTACTAGTAAGGAAGGGGTATCTAATAAACCAGCACTTGGTGTCACAATATACTCATGAGTTTCTTTTGAAATTTTTCTCAGATATTTAATGACATTGTGAGCTCATCTCTACTTTAACTTCATATTTTTTCATCTTTTGTAGAATGACTTTGGAACGACTTGTCGTTAATTTTTAATTTTTTTTTTTTGAAGCAGTGAGCAATATGAGCTTAGTGGAGTAATTTCGCCTGATTGTGTGTTGATTTGACAACACTGCATGGTTCTGTGAATGCAGCTTAAATATTTTGTGTATAAAGTTTTGCAATAATCATGGACGCTATGAAAAAGGTGTCTTTGTGCAGTTGTTAAAAACTAAGAGTAAATACACGCGGGAGAAATATATACAGTTTAAAAGATAATAAAAGATAAAAGATAATCTTCGATTCAGATAAATACTTTATAGCTTTTCTCTTTTTTTGGAAACAGAATTTCTGTTTTTTGTGTCTTTTCGGAGTTGAGTTTGCTGTTGTTCAGTAAACTGTAGAATAAAATATTCATGTATTTTTAAGTAAGTTTCTGCATTATTAATGCTTTTTTCACTTGTTATTTGATGGCTTTATTTGTATGGGGAAACATCTGTATTTAAAAGTGATCTAAGTAATAAGGAGAATGCTATGGTTCCTGCCTATATTGTTACTAAAGCCTAACTTCTATTCAACGGAACAGAAAAAAAACTGATATATGTTCATACAGACTTCAACTTTTCCAGTTCTATCATCCATCTTCATCACAAATAACTTCAGTCGTGTTTTATTTCATGAATAACTGTTTATTTTGTTTAAAATGGGTAGCTTCAGAGAAGCTGGCCTCAGAGACTGGAATTCTGATGCGGGACTCAGTCATTAACATATTTCTTTTATATCTTTATCAGCGTGAGGTAGAAAGGTAGGGTTGTGACCAACTCGAGCAAAACATGAATGATTTTCTGATTTTCTCAATCTCAATGTTTGAACACAGACATTTTACATAAGGAAAAAAACAGTACTTTTACACAGTATAAAAAATTTAACCATAAGATACTCTGGAAAAACTCTAATATCCTGTAATGTGGGAGCTGCTCATGGTAAATATTTTAAAGCCACAACATTTAAATCCACACTTTCGATACAGCATTTAATAAAATGCGCTTAAGCAACTTTTGCATGCATTGCAATGCTCTAGAAAAATTATAACAATGCTCCTTTTTAGGGCAGACAGCGACAAGATTAAAAAAACCCTGCTTCAAAACAACATGCACTCATTTTAATGAAATTACATGTACGAAGGTCTTTTCTCACCAGTGCCTTTACGAACAGTCCATATGGGTTTTAAACCCAAATATTACATCTGACATGTACTTCACAGAGACATAATCATAGCTGACCTATTTATACACCCATTATCATTCATGTTGCTGTGGATGCCTATTCAGAACCATAATATAAGAAGGTAAGCCAATGCATATCTCCTATGTCGTCTCCAAGACATCAATGCACTCGGGACTGGCTTCCCAGAAAATCTTTTTTTTTTCTCCATTTTTTTCTTTTAAATTAGGGAAACCTGCCCAAAAGTACTTTAAGTACACTTAGTATGCAACGAGCAATTTTGTTTACAACAAGTTAAAGTTTTTGGAAAACATACAAAACACAAAGTTTTAGTCAGCATGAGTGCAATGAAACACCACAAAAGCTGATTGATGTGCACGAGAATACAAATGCAAAAATAAAAAACAGTAGCATAGCTACACATAAGTCGGATTTTTAAACCCAAACATTTAAGGTAATCTAATTCCTTAAAAGAAATATTTAGCTGATGATAAATACTGTAAAAAATGAAGATAGAGAAGAAAGGTTATGACACTGACAGGACAGAAGGAAACAATATGTAATTGATTGTCATAAAAGGGAAAATTGATGAGGTGATTGCACGGATTACATGAGGAACATACTCATAATAACCTAAAAATAATTGTACCACA